TTTTTACCAAAAATTACAAAAATATTCACCAAAATTAGAGAATTAAAGATATCATTACAAAATGAACAAATCTGAGAGAGGTCCACATGTAGTACCTATATATGTAATATCAAAGCAATTGGACTTGCGGTTTTCAACAAGAAGTCGAAAATATCACTTTTTACCAAAAATGACAAAAATATTCACCAAAATTAGAGAATTAAAGATATCATTACAAAATGAACAAATCTGAGAGAGGTCCACATGTAGTACCTATATATGTAATATCAAAGCAATTGCACTTGCGGTTTTCAACAAGAAGTCGAAAATATCACTTTTTACTAAAAATGACAAAAATATTCACCAAAATTAGAAAATTGAAGATATCATCATGAAATGAACAAATCTGAGAGAGGTCTACCCAAGGTACATATACACCAAGTATCAAAGCATTCAGGCTTGTAGTTTTCAAGAAGAAGTCGAAAAAGTAAAACATTGACACGGACGACGACGACGGACGACGACGACGACGGACAATCACTCATATGATAAGCTCCGCTCGACAAAGTCGACAGCGGAGCTAAAAATAAGCTAGAGGGACTAATCCAAACTGTTATCTTCACAAATTACTTAAAATTACCTGATTATGAAAATTGATAGCAACACGTTTTGAAATGAATAAGAAATTAGTGCTGATTGGCGGTATGCAATAAATACCACAATTTGATGATATGCCTGATTACTCTTCACAAGAGATTAAATACCAAAACACATATTCAAGAAAAAAATGGTGATTAATTTTTAGGTCAATGATTCTTGTATTTTCAATGAGATAATCAGAGCATGTAATTTAAACAATTTGGCACCATGGAAACACTTAGTTACCAAATGTAAAATGTAGGTACAAACGTGATATTTTAAAATGAGATTAAAAAATGAAACAACAATTCTCATGAAGTCTCATGACCTTTGAATATGAAACGACTGATTTTGGAATGTTTCCATGTTTCCATTACGTAATGAGAAAATCATGACACAAAAGGCATTAGTATAAAACAGCTGAAAGTTGCACATGATTAGGTCAATGGATTTTGAATTGATAAAAAACAACTTTACTTGCATTATGACGAAGCCATTGAGACTGTCAGAGTCCCTTCTGTTGTTACATTACAAGTGAAAAGTGAGCAATTATACACTTTTTTTGAACAAGTGCATGTACTTGTTCTACATTGACTAATGACTTGGACTGTCGGCAAAATGTAAAACATATATCAAAATTCAAAATTATAGTGCATTGTGGATAGTTATGTCTGTCAGATTGAGGGATTATGATTATGATTTGATTCAGTCATAACTATCCCATGATACACTATGATTAGGAATTGCAATATGGTCTATAGCTGCCAGTCAACCATCTTCGATTGCATTGTAAGATAAATCAACTGTTGTTGCTATGCTAGGATACAACTGTCTGTGAACCAAGGTTTAGATAGCTTTTATTTGAGATACAATGATAAATGTGCAAATAAAGACAAAAATTGATAATGGCAGATTGTAATACATATGTGCATATGTCCCAAATAGGCACATGCAAAGAATGAACAGATTTTGTCCACAAGGTTCTGAAAAAAAACTCCAGGTGAGCGATCTGAGACTGAATTATAAGTCCCAGCTTCAAACTTTGTTCTAATGGGGACTAATAAAGATTCACACAGATTTGGTTAGCTATCAGAATATGAATACAAATTGCCTAAACATTTAAAGCAATTAAAGTAATATTATCAGCAAAATTTAGCCTCTTTCAATTTTGAGTCACTTGGCCAAAAAGTTATACTGATCAAAAGGTAACATATTTTGTTGTGTATCAACTAAGTTTCTATTTGTCTCCACTGAAATACATGTAAATCCTGTCATGCATTGATGTTAGAATTCTGCTTCAGATGCATGCTAAATACAACTACCCTATCAGGAAACAATTTATGAATCTCAGACTAATCTTAATGAAAAATGACTCACATCAAATATTGAATTTTTATTATAGTCCATCTTTGAATGTCAAACAGAGAATCTCATGAGCAATTCAGTGACTTGACGACACCATAAGATGCTTAAAATAGAACTGAATCACAACCAAATCAACAGAACTCATTGGGAATGTTTGATGCAGATTTCTTGTGAGTATCATAGCTGTAGCTGTTGTATTTATTACAGTGCACATATTACTAGATACGTCAAAGGCTTCACACCAAATTTTGCTGACAAAACAAATTTAACTAGACCTCATAAATTCCCCTGAAAACCTACTACTTCCTTAAATTGTTTTGGTTGTATTGAAAGTGAACAAATGTTACATGAAATGACATAAACTGGTCTAACACATTTAATATTTTGTATGTTGACAGCTACTATCTAAGATGAGCTGGCAAAATCTTGAATCTGGAGAATGACACAATTTTACAAAGCAATATTTTAAACTGACCTTCCATATGCAAATCTCCTGTCCTTATGGTGATCACCAAAGGTATCCCAAAGTCGTAATGACACCTCTACTCCATCCACAGTAACACGTGCTCTTTCTTGAATCTGAAAGCATCACAACACTTGTCATTATTCATATTATCAAAAGCATCTGACAATGATAATACCCATAAGTTGTTTGGCCACTGCTGGCACATGCACAAGATCAGGGCATTTACAGCCATCTGGATTCTGGATGTCTGTCACTATTAGAAATCTAAACTTGTATTGTGTTAAATAAATCAAGTTTATAATGGTAAACAGAAGTTGTATTCACAATAAAAGATCTCTGCATGTACTGATATTATTAATATTTCTATACTTTTTTTCAGTCTCTTGCAACTCCACTACTGTGACTCAGCTGAGGCGCTTGCAATGAGACTGGGGAAACATGGTCATAGTGCTGTTAGTCAATCATATGGAGGTGTGAAACTAAACAAGAAACACATGTCAATGGAATGAGCCAACAACTGATCACCCAGTGTGTTGTTTGTGTTACACTTTGCGATTACGTTACATGTTTAGTGAACAGCAAGTATGTACAAACAACCCTGGTTTATGTGTGGACAGGGACACTGGCTGGAAATTGAGTCTGGGATTTAAACAATAGACCTGGTGACTAATATACACATATAAGTCTGATCTTTGAGATGCAAAATATGCAAGCAATGCACAGAATTGAAGACGGTGTGATTTCTGAAAAACTGTTTGTACTGATAAGAATATAGAAAACCGTGATAGATAATCATAGTACTTAGTGATTATTCAATATAACCAGAAGTAACAGACAAAATATTCTTTTCTCAATGATAGATATGAATAGAGGGGTTTCATGCTTCCAAGTCTGAAAATAACTTTTTCTTCTATGTGTTTATGTTCCTGAGCACAAAGTTAAATCTAACTTATATGGTTATTGAGATATATAAAATTGCCTAAATTATGCAAATTAGGTTTTTATAATAACTAATCACAACTGTAGATTACCTCAAAGTAATTGTATACATATACCAAGTTTCATTGAAAAACTTTAAGATATCTGTGGAACAGCATAAAACAGATTAATTTATGCAAATTAGATAATTAATATACGCAGATTGCAAGAGAATGTTAATCAGGCCTGTGGGTTATTCCAGAGCATCTCTATGTATGTAGCGAATTTCGTTAAAATCTAAATGAATATGCATAGATTTTAACTTAAAGCTAATGAGATCTGTACATTGTCTCAGAATAGCTATGTACCAAGTTACATAAAATGTGATGATTCATTCTTGAGATACATGTATCAGTCAATTAAAACTGAAAGTCATGTAATTTTTGTATTTTTTTCAGAATTTTAGGACATATTTTAATACAGAATATATTGGTCAATTGCCCATACTGTTGGTATATGACTAACTGTTAACTGGGATTTTATTTGTAGCTAAAAATCTATTTTGTATAGTTTTTACAAACCTCAGGATATAGCCTATATTGGTCTATTGCCCATACTGTTGGTATATGAGTAACTGTTAACTGTGATTTTATTTGTAGCTAAAAATCTATTTTGTATAGTTTTTACAAACCTCAGGATATAGCCTATATTGGTCTATTGCCCATACTGTTGGTATATGAGTAGCTGTTAACTGTGATTTTGTTACTTTCACACTGCACGCTCTTGCAACAATCAAACGAGTCTTTCCAACAGCGTTATCGCCTACCACAACACATTTTACCAAAGCCTGCTGTGTGGGACGTTCATTCTCCATGGCGCCATCAGGTCAAAGGTTACCTGCAAGGACAGATAGCAAAAAATTTTAAAAACACTATTGAGACAAAGACAAACTCATATACAAAATGTTTTCATAATTTGTTAATATTCATACAGAGTGAGTACAAAATTGTGTGAAGGTTGCTGCGACCCAAGTAAAATTGTCTGCTACAAAATTTCACAACTTTCACTGCCAAAAATTGTCTCTCACAACTATCGCTGACTAGCTGTTTTTCTCACGGCCAAAAAAAAAATGGTTTCTCATGGCTCTGCAGATTTGCTGCTTGTAAAATATATAATTTTTGGGCATTCAAAGATTGTGGGTTGTCATTTTGCATACATTCTGGTGATGATGGTACTTATGCGAAATGGCAACACAAAATCTGAGTCCATATAGTTCCTAAAGCTTTCCCAGAGCTTTAGAATCATTATGAACAAAAGTCTCATGCCATCCGAAAAAAAAAAAAAAAAATTGCTCCATGAATCCCCCAAACATTTTTATTCGCTGCTTAAGGGTGTTATATTGGAAAACATGTACAGCATTAAAGGTTTGGCAAAATCACTCAATACAACTTGATAAGCACATGATACTACCAAATTTTGTAATATGGATTACAAATAATCTGTGCATATATGATGCGACACACATAACATAAGATTATGGGGTTATTGACCCAGTACATGTATGTAACGTACAACACCCCAAACAGTTACCCAGGCCAATAGTTGTGTTCACGTTACACGAAGTACGGGCTAAGATTTAAGCTGATTTAGGCTTATCTAGCATATTTGCATTTCGGCTAGACCCAATTGCGTCCACGCACAGGGAGGGCCAGTCGTTAGCACGGGCTAAGGGGTGCCATTAGTCGGTGACCTTTGGTAAGCCGCTATTTACAAACGAAAAATGGATGACACGCGCGAGGTTCTATTTCTGCTGCTGGCATGTTTCGTTCTAATTTTGAAGCGACGTGCACAGGAACGCGAGAGAAGACGGACCCAACTTATTTGGATGCACATAAATAGTATACAACGGGCGTAACAGAATACAGAGTTTTATTAATGCATGTCGTAGACAGCGAACCAAATTTATTTTGTCTACGATTGGAGCTGCTGTACGCTCTACTACAGTGACCCGATTAGTGTGGAAGCGAGCACGGAGTAATGACTGGTGGAATAGTGTCGTTATACGAACATGGGACAATTTTCACACCCAAAGGTCGCCGCAGAGGGCGCTTAGCCCTGAGCTAAGCGTTCGCGCATACTTCGTTAGCCCGTGCTAAGGTCTAGACCGTGTCTTAAATTCGGATCAGATTTAACCCGTACTTAGCATTCCTTAGCCCGTGCTAAGCGTTCACGCACGTTTTCTTAGCACGGACTAAGGAATTTGACCTCTTAGCCCGTGCTAAGGAGCTGTGCGTGAACGCAACTAGTAATTTAATGGATTAGGATAGACTGAATACTAATTTGATTGTTAAATATGATTATATGTGACAATTCAAGAATTGTTATACCATACAGATTCCTCTAATAGCATTAATAAATAAAAAATATAATATAAAGGAATTTTAAACCAAATTTTCTTTTCTGCGCCAACTTCAAAAACAGCTGTTGCAAGTTATTAATGTGACAGGCACATGTACATACTTAATGTGTTAATGTATTAGCATTCTAATGGAAGATATATCAACCGAAAAGACATATACAAGGAGGACAAAAACCTAGTTTCATAAATTCAATTGTGAAAGTACTAAGAATTATACAAACAAAACACAATGTAACAAAATATACATGTAATCAATCATCAAAACACAATTTACAGAGATGTAATATGCAGTAAAACCTGTCCCAACTAAACACCAGTGGAGCAGATCAAATTGTTCACTTCAGAGGCCTCTTTTGTAGTGAAACCTGTCTAATGAACACTAATGTGACAGTTTACAGATGTCTTATATGAGTGAAACGTGTTTAAACTAAATACAAGCAACCTATATTAACATTGTGGTAGCCAAGATGAGAACAAATTGTTCAAAAAAAATAATGTACACCTCAAATATCCAGGCAATCGGGTTGGTAGCTCATTCAAGAGAATTCAAAAATATAATTTTTACCAAAAATATTTGCCAAAAATAAGAACTGAAGAATCATTACAAAATGAACAAATCTGACAGAGGTCCACCCAAAGTACCTACATACTAAACATCAGGACAATTGGGTTTTCATGAAGAAGTCGAAAATGCAATTTTTGACGGACAATGAACCGACAACAACAGAGAATCACCTATATGAACAGCACCATGACAGGCATGGCTAACCAGGTATTCTATGGAGAAAGACAGATTTATGAATTACTTGTATTTTATATTCATATATAATCCAGTGCCGTGGAGTGAATTGTGTATTATTTTGAACTAATAAGTATGGCTAGTGTACATTGGTTTGTATTGTATATTATCATGCCACACCTAGTTACAAATCGATTGTAAATATTAAATGCACACATAGTTGAACTACTGATGACTAACCTAACTTTATGAAAAATTAAACAAAGATTGATTTTGTGAGTGTGTTTTCAATATAAAGAGGAGAAATCAATATAATAGATATTCTTTTCAATGCAAATTGAAGTGTCATAATACAAAATCATTTGCTGTATCCATATGCCATCATTTTCTTAACCTTTTCACCACCAAACTGTTTTGCCCAACTTTTTCTGTACTTTTTTTTTTTATATTTTTCAATATTTCCGGAATTGAACCCTAATTTTCAGTTTTTACTCAAAAAATTTGGCTATTTTTGCTCTAATCTGCTGTAGGAAAGTGGAGACTATGAAACAGGACTATTTTGCAAATTTGTGATGAAAAGAGGGAACTGGTGGTGAAAAGGTTAAATATTTTATTTCAAATAGACCGTCAAATTATATAACAAATATAATATAATTGTTTTAATGATCATTATAGTTGAAGAATAAACTGATGAATAATTTAACTGCTTTCCAGAGTTAATACACATGGTACAATTTATTACCAGGTTTTAGTTTTGCTTTCCAGAGTTAATACACATGGTACAATTTATTACCAGGTTTTAGTTTTGCTTTCCAGAGTTAATACACATGGTACAATTTATTACCAGGTTTTAGTTTTGCTTTCCAGAGTTAATACACATGGTACAATTTATTACCAGGTTTTAGTTTTGCTTTCCAGAGTTAATACACATGGTACAATTTATTACCAGGTTTTAGTTTTGCTTTCCAGAGTTAATACACATGGTACAATTTATTACCAGGTTTTAGTTTTGCTTTTTTCATATACAAGTAGGTCACAATCAAAACTCTGAAGAGAATATAATTTGTAATCTAACTCTGGAGTCAACAAACCCATAATTATTCTTATAAATAAAGTATCTTATCCAGGACATGCGATTGCACAATTTACACCCATTTCTGGAGATCCTTCCCAAATATTTGATGTGTATGTAATTTTTGTGCAGTTATTAACTTTTATAGAAATTAAAAAAAAATCTCTGGAATCCAGAAATCCCTGATAAATGTCTTATTCATCTAATCTAGAAATGCAACAACAATTAATGCAAATACTTCTTTTATATACATGTAAAGTACATACATGTATGAGACCAAAGTAGCAAACATATACGGGTATAATACAATGAAACAAGGAAATATATTTGTATTTTAGTGGGAACTAAGATTGGCAACATTGAACCAGACTGTTATACTCAGAGTTATCAGATACAGGATAGTTGAATGTAAATCAAATAAAAATGTGCCAGCACGAAAAAAGAACAAGCAATAATTAAATATGTCCAAGGCATCATTAACAAATCCTCCTTTTGTATTCAGAATGAAACAGGAAATTTCATATTCATTTTAAAAAAAATTCGCTCATTAATTTTTATTTAGAATGACGGAGGAATTTTTTCCTATTTTTTTAAAAATCCTGGATGTTACACCGTTAAACCCTACTGTTTTCATTTGAATTACAGTCTCATTCAACATATGATTGCATTGGCTCAGGCAATCTAACCACCATTCCACAAAGTGCTCACACATAAATTAGAGCAGCATACTAATCCACCAAATCACAGCAAAAGCTCATACAATGAGTAATGGAAACTTATACAATGTATTTCATTAAAAATATGTACAAAAACATTTTTTTGAAATTTTGCATAATTTATTATTTTTAATATCTTTTTAATATTCGCCACCATGATCTTACATACTATTATTACATTAAGTCCTAAGATGATTTGTACTTCCCTTCAATCAGTAAATAACCTAAGTCCTTGTTATTCTAAAGCAACATGATATTTCATTAATGAATTCGCAAACAAGTTGAATTCTTTCATAAATACATTCTGTCACTATATTTTGTTCATATGCTTAATTTATAAAAAATGTTACAAGGTGTCTATGTGGTCACCATGGTGTAAGTAAGAGGACTCAATAGTTATTACTGAAATATCATTTCTATAATAATAAATTTCAAAGCTTAATAAGTAAATCCAGCAGGATTTCAGCAAACATTTGAACTTTAATTAAATGTAAAGCAGAGATTAAGGTTGAACAGAAATATATTCACTGTCTTTTATAAAAAAAACAGTAGTTTTATCCACCAGACACATAGTAAAGTTATGAGCAATAATAAAACGAACAAAAAAACATGTTTTATGAGCTAAATGTGAAAGTAAAACAGAAATCCATGTAGTTATAATGCATGAAATAAATCATCACAAAGAACAATCCCCAACCTTATAGTCTCACTTAAGCGTATTGTTTCAAAGGCAAATTGATGAAACTTTAAGTGTGTATTTAATCAATAGTTGGTTTCAGAAAAAAACAGAATTGAAATCACACTATGGTATATGCTTTTAATAATTACCTTGACTACAGTTACATTAACTATTCAGTAACATCACATACCAGATATGTCATTTTCTAGCACAGAGGCAAATAGATTTCTAGATTTTACATTTAAATAGAAAATAAAAAACAAATCAAGGACAAA